CTCCGGCCTCGACTCGGGTATCCTCATGACCATCTCGAGTATCCGCGCCGGTTAAGTGACATCGTGATCCATGCCCTCAAAGCGTCCCTCATAAAACGTTCATCCTCCCATCTGGATTTAGAACCAGGTGGATATCCCCTAGGCGTATTTCCTCCCGTTGGAACATTGTCCACCCGGGGGAAAATCCATTTGAGAGGGAAAATCCACCTGGCTCGAAATACATGTGCACTAATGGCTAGGTGGATTTCGTCGAATGGGCGCTGTAAAATGCATGCGATCGAAAGGGACATCGTGTACTGAATTAGAAGAAACTGGTTGTCTGGATTGGATCTGAAAAATTCCAGTTTCGTACTTTGCAATGTGACAAATTTACCACTGACCCAGTTTCGTCGACCCACTACCGTTGACCCAACACACTTTCCCAATTAAAGATAAGTAGATTAACGAATGCACACCAGTTAAACCCGTCAAATGCCATCACCTGCCTAAGACTGCATCGTCAGAATTTATACTATTATGTTCCAGGTGATTTTGGTCCTTACCGTCTGCCTGATAGCGGCGGTAGCGGGTGCAGCCAGGCCGCTTGAAGTATCCAGGTCATCTAAATCCCTGTGAGTCACTGATGTGTCCCCGATCCTGCATGAATTCTCCTTAGAGTCCACTTTGGTATGAACGTGATCCTCGTGGCAGGCTAACATCGATCCGACACTCCCTGACGGCGCCGATCAGATGGATGAAGGGTGAAGATGCCGATGAGGTCATGGATCACGATGTCATCTCGGATCGGATCGGACGGAAGAAGAAGAAAAAGGGAAAGCGAAAGAAGAAGAAGAGGAGGAAGAAGAAGAAGAAGGTGAATCTGTACAAACTGAGGATGAAGGCATGGCAGGAAGGATTCAGGACGGCGATGGAATTGCTCCATGACGAAGGATCGAGTTCGTCTGGAGGAGGCGAGAACTTCCCCATCGCTGCACCGTTTGGAGCTTCGGGAGGTCCTCTCCGTTTGGAGCCTCCACTGTCTGCGCCTCCAACCCCCATCCATCCTCCTCTGCCTCCAACCCCCATCCATCCTCCTCCGCCTCCCTTTCCCCCTCCACCTCCCGTCTTCCCCCAACGGCCCCGCTTCGCTCTCTCACCATTGCCACCGCCACTGCCGTATATCAACACATACCCTTCCCGAGACGAGGCCGAGGACGAAGTGATCGTCATCAACACCGGTGGTGGCTACAATGCCGATCGAGGAAAAGGTGACTTGAAGATTAACGTGAAGAAAGACCAGGACGATGAGAAGGTAAAGGGAAGACATGTTTCAGGGGAGACAGAGGAACGGATAAAAACCCTGCAACAGGTGAAGACAAGGGAACGGATGAGGATCCCGCAACAGGTGAAGACGAAGGGGCCTGAAAGCTGGATCCCCATTCCCACCGATTTCGAGTACTACCACACTAGGGAACCTTTATATGAGGATCTGGAACACACCTACCACAATGGGAAACCTTTATACGAAGATCTGGAACACACCTATGTTTCTTACAACGCCACCGGTATGCACCCTGGAGATTTCTTGTATCTTGGGTTGGAAGAGGAAGACGAGAACGAAGAGGATGGACGATCCCATTTCGCACCGATGGACTGGCTGGAATATTCGGAAGGGAAGGAGAGCTCTATTGATACCATCGAGGACTTACAGAAGAAGGAAGAGGCGGCAGAGACATTGGTAGAAGGAGAAGAAGGAGAAGAAGGAGGAGAAGAAGGAGGAGAAAGAGGAGAAGAAGGAGAAGGAGAAGGAGAAGGAGAAGGAGAAGGAGAAGGAGAAGGAGAAGGAGAAGGAGAAGAAGAAGGCGAGGGCGAAGGAGTAGTATATGAAGGAGACATGGACGAAGACGTCCTATCAGATGTGAGAGAGCATTTGCATCCTCTGAAGGACGAAGATATCCCCGACCATCCCGTTGTCCGAGTGGACGTTCGTGCCCCACCCAAGGTTTCTTATTCATACTCCTATTCTCCTCCACCTCCTTGGAAGTATACTCCACCTCAGTAACCCTCCCCCCCGCTCACACAAACACACACACACTCTCTCTCTCTCCCCCTCTTTCTCTTTCTCTCGGAAACATCGGTATTCCTTAGAGTTCGAGGATCCCCAACTATACAGGGTGGCCCCCCAAAAAATGTTCCCACTCTTCCAGTCTTACAATTGTCATTATTGTCTTTAAAATTTTTAAATGCTGGTGGATGCCAATTTGAGCACCTACGGTGAACCAAAAGTGTATGAAGAGATAAAAGATTGTGTTATGTATTAATGCTAACAGGTGATTTAAATATCTTCCGTTACACAGTCATTCGAAATGTGGGTACATTATTTTGAGCCACCCTGTATATACAGTCATTCTCGTCGTGCATCGTCATCCTACTCGTTGTTGGCCATTTTTGTTATTGTTGGTCACTGTCAATGTTGCCGATGATGTTATGACCGATCGGTGTATACCTTACAGTTATTCTCCTGACTGGATCTTCGAACCGCTTCGGCAGGCATCATTTTTATTATGTTTGTTGTGATTTCATGGAATTTTATTTTGCTGTTATGACAGAGGAGTTTTGACATCGTCCTGACGACTAGAGACTCTTGTGCTCCTGCATCGGAGTTGGAACTTCGTTTTGACTCTCTGAGGCCGCATGCATTCCATTTTTTTATTGTTGCCGTTTCTATTTATTTGTTGTTGAGAAAGACGGTCGATGATGATGATGGATTTCGTTTTCTGTCTCCATATGGAAACCCTGAGAAAGGGGGTGGTTTTTTGTAGAAGTTGGAATCCCCGGGTCTTGCCCAAGTCTGCACAAAAATATTGACTCAACGTTGAAGTGATGTTGACGATATTGAGGGGATGTTGATGCCGATGATCCCAGCCTGCACGACAATATTGACTCAACGTTAAGTTGTTGTTGATGGTGTCGATGCTGATGATCCAATGAATATACAATTTTGATGTGATATTAAAAATGTAAACATTGCGAGGATATAGTCCGGTCAACATTACATCAAGATAGGTCAGGAGAGACATCTCGTGAGACATTTGAACAAAGAAGGTTTCCTGACTTCGAAGTGAGATGGTGACAAATCGCTAAAACAGGGAGTTACCTCATATGTGCAACCGGCACGCGTCCCTAGTACTTTTGGAACGGTACTTGATATTTTCTCCACAGACGACACCGGGGAAGGTATTCGAATTCCTGGATGTATTCGGCGAAAGAGGCAACCCAGCTCAATGAGACCCAGGATAATTCTGACCTTTGGAGCGGAGAAAAGAAAGGTCATGTGTTGATCTGACTCAATGAAACCTCCCCTCTCTTTATTTGATAAAATCTTTAATCAGATCCTGCGGATCACTCGGAAGGATCCAGGGAGTAACTCCCAGCCACCTTTTCTTTTACTGTAGCCGCTCTTTCGTTCTCTTGCTTCCCCTAATCTGGGCTGCCTCTATGATCTCGTCGGTCTATTTCGAGATGGGAAACATGAAAAATATTCTTAAATGACGCAATCGCAGGATGTCAGAAGCCTGTTGAGACCTGTCTCATTTCAACGTTCAGACGATGTTGATTCGATATGACAATCAACGTTCCTCGACGTTGACTCAACATTATAAAATGTCAATACTCTTAAAACGTGGCATCAATATTGACTCATCAGACTGGGGCCATGCCACTACAGACTTAATGAAGGCATGGACACCCCTGCCCCCACATTACACGATCATGGAGAGATGGGTTCTGGGATCGGGGCTGGAGGGAGATACAAACGTGGAAACCTCAGCCTTTTCGCCTCTCCGTGAAACGAAAGGCCTGGTGTTATATCGCCAACAAACCCGTTTGTATTGGGTCTGAATGAAAGAAAAGAAAAAAAGAAATCCGGAGATCCCACTGACCTAAATAGAGGAAGTCGATGGCAATGGGTCTGGTGCACCGTTTTCGGTCCATCTCGGGCAGTTCCCGTTACGCACGGTCGATTTCGTTTGTTAATTCCTCTACACCGGTCGGCATTCTATAAATTTACTCTGGTGAGGAATAATGGGCGACCGAGAACCTAAGATATGACACGGGGACGCGTGGAGGATTGATGTGTCCATTGCTCCGTTCCGCTCCATTCGGCTTCCCCAACTTCTTTCTTTTTCCCTCTCCTCTGGGTTTTTCTCTCGTACAGATCCACTGGACTATTTCTCGTCCCGAAGTGGCGGAAGAGGAAGAAAGGAAGAAAAGACGTTCGGTGCCGATGGGGTCAATAAACGCTGTCATCACCTCTGGGGAAGGAGAAAGAAAACTTGCTCCTTCCCCCCCCCCCCCCTTCGTTCCGTTCTCATTATGGAAATGTTTTCCGTTTGCTCGAAAGAGGTGGGAGATTGAATTTGTGCAAAGGCCGAGACGAAGAGTGAGACTAGTCCTCTGAATTTCAAAGAGACTCTTCCCTGTAGCCGCATATTTTCTCTTCCTATTCCGTGGGAGGGGGGGGGGGGGGGGGGGGGGGGGGGT